AACAATTTCGACTGGATACAGACTGAACTTTTCATCCCCAAGCCAACATGATTCAAAAGTTGTGTTCGGGAGCATTAATTGTCCCAGTTATGTAGCACATCATCTGGCATCCCGACGAAACAGGCCATGTTATTGTTTATTGCACAGTCCAGAATTACAACCAAAAAGTGAACCATCTCGTGTGCACTTGCTTTTCGATGATGTCATTTATTTTCGCCCCTGCTGTGAAAAACAAGTCTAACCTGCAAAATATGTTTACTTCAGTGACTCTTCCAATGAAACTCCCCCCCCTCTCCCCCTCCCCAATAACTTGGGGATATATATATGTCTGCTGACTTTCGTTTTTGTTTTTTTGTTTTTGCTGGGATTTAGTATACGTTGTGAAACAACGGTTGCAGGGGATTTAGCCAAGGTAACAAAAATGGCACACGGGGGAAAACCATTTTCCCTTTTTGGTTACATATTAATGACAAACGGAGAAACGTGATTTGCTCGTAATACCTTGGACATCAAAACACCAATGCAACTTACCACATTAACTGTCAAAGGTGCTGTATGTGATATTTTTTATGTATCCATGGGTATTAACCACAGAAAATTTACCTCTGGAAATATTGGTCATACTCACTAAATGCAGTTTCCCGTGGTAAAAGGGTCATTTACCATGATAAAGAGTTCCATGTAACTGAACCCTAAGGGAGCGAATTTCCTAGAAACTAAAGTCCAAACATGTTTCTCCTGTAACCGTTTTTTTGTCTGCAGCTTGGGATCTTATAACCAGGACTCTGCGGTATCTTTACTTGACGTTCATCACTACAACACGACAAAATGTATAAATATTCACTGTAAAGCTTCAATTTCTCTGATTTATCCATAGCGCATCAACTTTTATTTGACAGAAATCCCACACAAGTTCGCATTGCGGACCTAGTTTTGAACATGATGTGAACAAGACCAATTTCAAGGATTGTTAACATCCTTGAAAACCAAATTTTGGTTTGTTACAATGCAGAACAGTACTGTTGTTACAATATTTTGGCTCTATCACAGTCATGTAGTTACATTAGATAAAACAAACAAGTGGACAGCTTATATATCAAGGCTAATTAGTCGTATAGACAAGCAATGACATAACAGTTAAGTGCTTTATTGCACAGTGCCCGCTCTCCCACAAGCACCCCTCCCACTCCTTGAGCAATTTAATAGTTAGTACCTGGGGTTTATTATTCTCACCCACCTAGGCCTGACTGAGTGATTTTGTACTTTTTTGGCCTTGTTATGTCAAAATGGAATTTACCAGTGTTTTTTTTGTCTCTAGTCAGTACAATGATGTTGATACATGTACATGTACTTACTAGTTTATAACCTTTTCTTGAATCATTTTATTCATTTGAACTGTATGGTATGAGATAGAGAAAATAAAAAAAAAATGAGTTCCTTGCAGTTGTATAATCATTACAAAATATGCAGTTGAAAAGAAATTATGATATAACAATAAAAGCTTGCTGGAGTAGTCAGTTATAATTGATCTCTGTCCTGTTTAAACCTGCAGGTGTAAGCAACTCCTTGTTGACCTTACTGAGTACATGCAGCTCCAGGATGTTATGGCGTGGTTATCAACATTAGGAGGTGCATACTCAGCAATGGGAGATCATCTTTATAGTTATGTGAGTAGTTTTCGTCCATCTGCAAGCAAGCATTCTTCTTAGAAATAATAAGAAGTAATATTCACCCAAAATTTTCTTGAGTTTTCAAAGAGTAAACATCTTAATGTGACAGTGAATTCATGCTGGGTGTAACCCTGTGATGGACTAGCATCCTATCCAGTGGCAGTAGAAGTACTCCTAGTCACTTATTGCTAGGAAATCAGAGACAAGCACCATGCTGATGCCAGGCCAGGAGGCTCAAATTCAGACTTCACCTGTTTACTGAAGACATATGTTGATGATCTTGAACTGAAAATTTTAGTTTGAGGTTTGCTAGTTGCTGTTTTCCGAGACTAGTTTGTACACTTAGGTTAATGTTTGCCATATATTTGAAGCTGTCATGTTGGAATCATTTCTTGTTTCTTGAGCAACTGTTGTTTAGAATAAAAATGTGTGATAACAAATCATAACAGGCAAATAAAAGCTTAGCCTGCGAGCAAACTCTCTTGGAGTAGTGGGGTGGAGGGGGAGAGCAGGCTTGCAGGCTGATAACAGCTGAGGTAAATGACTTAGATGCATGTGGAGATAAAGTATGGGATCAGGTCATGTGATGTGCACAGGCTGGTGGTTTGATGAAGTCTTTTCTGGTATAATTGAAGTGCTATCCATCTTGTCTGTCAGTTTGGTTTGGATTTCCTGTCTAGCTAATTTGTTCAGATTCTAAATATCTTGGTGATAACTGATGAGCTACTACGCATGCTCTCATTGGTCGATAGGTGTGTTTAGATGAGAGTATGTAAACACGGTGGTGATGTTTTAGCTTCACGCATATTTTTAAGAATTATTTTATAAAAGCAATAGAACACTCTTTCCATGTTTACATGGCCTCATCTAAACACTTGGGGGGCTGGGAGAATTCTCGAAAGTTATCCAAACCCTTGACCACGTCTCAGGTTGACATTTACAACTGTCTCGAATTCTCCCAAGCCTCGTCATGTTTAGATGAGGCTATGTAAACACAGGAAAAGAGTTCTATTGCTTAAATATGTCTGTGTTTAACAATAATGGCAACTAACTTCAATCTGAGTTGTTTTTCTTATTTGTTGCAGTCTGAAAAAGCTTGTCAGATTTCTCAGCATCAGTTAATTGTGGCCTTGAGGTTAAGAAATCCTGTTCTTGCTGCCCAATGCAAAGTATTTGTGGCACTGAGTCTCATACAACGAGGTCAACTTAAACTGGCCTCCAGAATAATAAGGTTTGTGAATGCAAATAGTAGGATCAGCTGTGGTCCTTATAGTTAGGCTGTGTCTGTAGTCCTGTGGACTCCGCCTTTACAGGAATTAACCTGTGTCAAGTACATGTAGAATCCAATAAGACTCTGGTTATTGTTTGCTTAAAAAGGTGTTCTCCCCCCTTAGGTTTCACTATTTCCATTGTAAATTAAGTTTTGGTTACAAAATTCATATTTTTATTGCTTAGATTAATCAAAGGGCTGACTTGTATTATGCTCTTTGCTTATGAAATAATGGTACAGTTGTGCCCTGTTAATTCAAACCCGCAAGAAAAACAGCAGTTGAAATAGCAGGGTTAAGTTTGAATAGATATCAGTATTCTAATAAGCACTTGTGTGATAAGAAAATCTCTATATTCCTCGTGGGGATCAGAAATTCCAGAGGGCAGGTAAGCAAGAGGTGAGAGGGGCAGAGGTAAAAAGCCAGACAGTCCCCTCTTTTGGGGGAATGAAGTTTGAATGATGTTCAGCCTAGTCAATAATTTTGTATTTCAGGGAACAGTATGTTCTAGCAAAATCCGATGGTTTTGGAATGGATGAGAAGGTAGGTAAATGAAATTAATTGCAGGTAGGTAGTGCACCAATGTGGATCAACTTGGACTGGAGTAAAGTACTTATGATTTAAATTGAATAAGAACAAGAAACTAAATGAAGCATAAAAATAGGAGCTTCAAGTTTAACTGCTTTCACCCTCATACATGAACGAATGAATGAATACCTTTATTTAAGTGTCAAACTAAAATAGCAGTAAATAACCACTAAATGGGGACACTATAAACATATTAAAATTAATGAAACTATTTACAATTGATAAAACGAGCATGAAATTAATGAGATTATTTACATGTGCATGATTGGATACATGCAAGAAATGATTTGTGCTCTAGAAAGCTTGCATTATTCTCAGTTTGACACTCACCATACCAAATGCATTACAGTTCCAAATGCTCTAATTTTGCTGTGGTTTTCTGGGTTGTGACGGGCTTCCTAGTGGGGTAAATGTCAATCTCGAAAGTTGTTGTGTTTTTTTGGGCATCTCATGGGTGTGTGATTTACCTCAGGGTACACACTCAGTGAATAAACCATGTACCCCCTTGTTGTCTTAAAATAGCCCTTACATATTTAACACTGATCCTGCAAAATTAGGCTGAATTTCATCAGATAATTAGCCAATAAGGCAGGAAAATAGCGGATCAGACGATATTTAGAAGATTGAACAGAGTAGATTTTCACTGCCCCCATGGGGAGTGCTAACAAAATTGATATTGTATTGTAACAAGGTCTATGGGCGTTGTGGCTCTTGTCACACCCAGGCTGGTGTTTATACCTCTCATGTTTGGAGAAGACAGTCTGAAGAGATATACAATTGAATTTTTTTTATTTTCAGCTGATATCATCTTGTAAATCGGCCTGGTCAAGAATACAGTACTCTAAAAAACAAAATAAGGTATGTTTAATTAAAAGTGATTATACTACATACTTTAGTGTATTTAAGAAGTATGATTGATTGCATGGTATGCGGATTGAAAAATATGATTGATGACATCAGAGCGTACGAATTGGGGCACAGGCTACACTACGTGT